AGTCCAAGCTGTCTTTTTTTTTGAAATCACATACTAAGTTGACTTGCCCATGGTCCGTCCTACTTTATCATGGTGTAAATGCTGTGAATAGTGCTGAATCACCTAAGAAAAAGTCTGCTGCCAGCAGGGGAAAACAGTCCCTTTCACTGATCTTGTTGTTTTAGGTAACATTGCTGCTGTCTAGGTGCAAATTCTGCCTGTGATATTTATTTGATCAGCTCCAACAGCTCAATGAAAGAGTTTCTCCTGCAAAGTGAAGTGAGTATCAGGAGTCCCATGATGGAACCTTTGGGCATCATCAGCAGCAATAGTGGAGGCACCATTGTTTCAGACCCCTTCCTGACATCTTGATTATGCGTCTGACTCCCAGACACATATTCACGACAACCTACATGCAGAAAGCCTCCTCTGACTCCATAAAACTCCCTCTGGAGTTTAAGAGTTTCCCACTGGCACTCTGTGCTTTGTACTATTTGTAGCTTGTTGACCTCTGGAGGGATCAGCATCTCCATCTTGTCACAGGAGTCCATCACAGAAAAAATCCACTTTCCTTTTCCTTCTGAAAAAAGGGAGGCAAGTTTGCATTGTTAATATTTGACCAAGTGCTGGTAGAATTGCCACCTACCTGTACCCAGCAAACACATGGGTTACACCTAAGCTGAGGGGGCTGCACTCTTTTACATTTTGGAAATGGCATTGCTATTCCCCATTCCTCAATTTGATGAGCAACTTGCTGTTACATACATATGTTACGTTCTCATTTGTTTCTTTTCTTCCTTCATTCTTTTTCATCCTTCATCCTTCACTTTGGGACAAGTTCAGCTCTGACAAATGAAAGTTTAACTTCTTTGAATTAAAAAGATGTACACCTATTTTTCATTTTTCCTTTGCTGGACTCTCCCATTTTTCACTTAGAAATTTTCCAGATAATGTTCTCTACAGAGTGATTTAAATGTAGGATAATTTCAGAAACAGGAGTTTCTCCAGTTTTTAAAACAATTTGGCTACCTAATGTGTTCAAATGTGTATGTAGTGGGAGAGAGGAAATTTAAGGAAGTGGCATGTTACACCACAGCAACAAAGAATTTCAGCAGGTTGTATAATACTCTATTTCCATTCCCTCCCCTAGCACCCTTGCGAAGATGTGGCATTCATTTAAAAAATATATTTAGCAACAAAATCCAGACCAATTAAACAAGGCTCAGCAGTGTCTGTCTAGGATCACAACTGCAAGTCGCCTTTCACTGTGAGGAGGTTTTAAAGCACAATAGCTGTTTGAAGGAAAAGAAAAGAAATAAAATATTGCAAAGAAAAATGATCGCCACAATGATTAAAAAATCCCTAAACTATCTTGAACTTTTTTTTCTGCTGACAAAACAAGGTTCTGAAAGTCATGTGGAAAAAGTTATTTCATTTTATAAGCACCTTTTAGCCAAAAAAAAAACACATACGCTGCTTGCAGTGCAGTAGCTGATCTTCCTAGAGAGCTAACTAGCCTGGAGAGTCTTTACACCTTGATGCCTGCCTTTTGGTTGTTTTCATGGGTTAGAAGTGGAGTTGTGGTGAATGGTGAGCATTGGAGCCCTGTCAGCTGGCTGGGTGAGGTTTGTTGAGAAGCACTGGTGCCCCTGAAGAGGACGTCACTTCTGGCAACTGCAAGAAAACCACACGGTGCCAGATGCATGATCTTGGCACTTTAGTAGGTTTTAGGTGAATGAATCTAACTTGGTGATCTCCAAATCACTGTCTCAGCAAGTTCCTCATCTGTCCATCTCCCTTTTGGTCCTGGAAAACCTTTAGATGCCAAGAGAATCACAAACCCTTTGGCCTGTAACACATTTCTGGTTGTCAGAGTGATATTTCTTATGGTTACCTGAGGGATGTGATCATGGAGGAATGCACCATGCATAATAAACATGAGACAAGAGGGTGCTTACCATCTACAGTATTTGTGTCATATAAAAAAAAAGAAAAAAAAAGTGCCTTTATATATTAGTCTGGAATTAGGTCCTATGAATAAGGGGCAGAAAAGTTGGATACACAATCAGCCCCAGGGCATTCAAAGCCACATTAGTTACTGAACTGGAGAGTACCTTGAATCATGCCCTTGAAAGTAGGGCTGTGTGGGAGGCCTTTTCCAACCCTTCCTACGGAAGCAGTGCTATGGTATTGCAAATTATACAGGATCCATATGGCTGGAATGAAAACCAAGGGGGAAGATTACTCGGACTGCTAGGGCTGAGGGCATTCTGCTGGTGTGGTACACATGGGACTGGTCTGCACTCCAAGGACTGCTCATAAATTTCCATTTAAACAGACCCTGGATTCAAAAAATAAAATAAAATAAAATAAAAATAGTCATGAGAGCTTGTCTGCTAGGTTACAAAGCCATACATCCTTGTGTTCTCCTATTCTGGACGAAGTTATCTATTAGAGCAAGTATTTCCCACATACAATGCTGAGATTATTAAAAATTGAGCATAAGCCTGCCTGTTTTTCTAGGTAACACAGACACTATGAAGCACTCTGCAAGCTGCAGGTATCCTGAGACACGTTGGGCATTTGGTGAGCAAGCTCTGAAGTGGGGCAGGGGTCCAGCCAGACACATTGCCGTGGCTTGTGGCTGCTATTGGCCACTGAGAAGTACAAGTTTTGGAGATCTGGGCGTTATTTTTAGATGATTTTTCTGAAGCTATAACTCTCCTCTAGTTAAAGGAACAAATCCGGGTCTTGGATTCTGTTCTGGTGACCAAGACCTGTGCAGACACATCGTTGACTCTGGCTTGCCTTCAATGAGTGCCTTTAAGCTGCTGTGTGAATCCCGCTGTTGAACGCAACATGCCATGACATCTACAACTCTCAACCAGCCAACTGTCCAACATTGTCACTGCCTGGTAACTAATGCATACAATTTTGACTTTACACAATGCAGTGCAATACATTTGGCTCCACAATTTGAAAAGGGTCTGCCCTTTGTCTCTCCTTATCGGTATTATCTGACGTTGAGTTATGAGCTGCTAATGACCCAGAGATAATGAAAGTCATGTCTCAGAGAGCTCACAGCCTGAAACACTGATGCAAGAAGACAGGAGAACCACTCAAGAAATCCAGTGGGAAGAATAATCTGTGGCTTTGAGCATAATATATATTTTAATTACTGTTTGTTTGGCACTCTGGTAAGGAATATGGAAGAAAAAAAGCTTTTAGAAGAGTTTTCAATGGGCTGACGGCAGTGGTTTCATTTTCTTCAGCTGAGTCCCCCCTCCCCCCTAGCTTTTCTTCTCAGAGCACTGGCACTTTGATAAGTGTTGATGGAAAACACTGTCTTTTATGCTGAATGTGGGTGTGGGCAGAGGGGAGAGTATATTGAAAGCACTGCATCCAAGTGCCAGAAATGCCTGTGGTTCCCACACTCCAAGGAGTAGGAAAACTTCCCCCAGGAGGCCCAGCAGTGTCAGAGGGTGCGATGGAAAGAGAAGGTAGGCCATAACCCAGGCTCCTGCTTCTCCATGAGTTGAAACTACTTGGGAGAGCCTAGCAGTGAGGTGAGGAGCTAGGTGTCCTTGGATTGCCTTCTGAAGATGTTTCTTTGTGGTGTCTTCAGAACAAAGTCTTAGACACTTTGCTTAGGCCAGACTGCTGTAGGAGCCTGTTGGCCACTTACTCTTCCCAGCTGAAAGAAGATAATGATTCTTGTCTAAATCACTTGAGATTTACAATGGTACAGTCTGGAGCAGAATCTGGCGCAAGCTTCTTGCAGATATGCCAAGAAAGGAGGCAGTTGTATGTGCACACATTCATTATGTATATTACCCTAGAGAGGCAAGCCACTGTCTCTGCTTGCCACTTCAAAGGAGTAGAGTGGGTCTGTTAAGAGAAAAGCACAATCCCCAACATGCCTCAGGGGAGAATAATTGAGATTTCCTTGATTTGTACAGACAGCGATGGAGACAGAAATCTCACACTTGATTTTAAGTTTATACGGCACCCTTTTCTCAAGCATGCTGTTGTATGGGAGTCTGAAATCTTCAGCTAAGACACTGTAGCCCAGCAATAAGGCTCCATGATCTTCACAATATGCCTTTGTTTTTGTTTCTATAAGTCAAGAATATGCAGCTGATGAAAGACTGTCACAGATTCCCTGCAGAGCGCTCCCAGTCTGAATCTCTCCCTCGTGCCACCAGAATGAATCAGTCTGCAGACAGCAGTTCTTAGCAAAGATGCTTTATCACCAGGGCTGTAGCACCCACTAGAATGAGGAAACTCATTACTTTTAGAAAATTATTCTGATGTTTGAAGTTCTTTTAAGCCCTGAACTGGAGAAATTGTGAAGTGCCACATTTCTTTTTTAATGAGAATGAATGCACTGGATCTCTTTAATTTGACTGAGGTGAAAATGTACTAACTACCACAGGACAACTCTCCATCTTCAAGTAGTGGTATGGATGGACTGGCCCAAATTCCCCATGGTAATAAAGCATCCTGGCACATTGACAAACAGACTTTGTGCCTGCTGGGTTGAAAAGAATTGGTGGTTATTTCCAAACCTTCACTATCATGAAATACCATGAGCAGGAACAAATGCTATATATCTTCGGAATGCTTGATTTTCAATTATACCTAGCCATTCTATCTAACCTTACTGATTTACACATGACAAATATTTGTTGTTTCATTCTCCTCTCTTTTTCCACACCATCCAGATTTTATTAGCAGCTGTCTTGAGGAGAGAGGCAATAGACTGTGTTTAAAAACATTTACTTACATTTTCAAGTGGTTTAACTTTAAAATATTATTTGCTGAGTCTAGGAGTTTGTGAGAAGCATGGTTACTAAAAATCATGCTGAAACTGAAGGAGAGGAAGGTGATAATCAGAACAGCCTGATTTTTAAGTGGGATCATGAATTAACTTGTTCAGCTGGAGTTCCTTTCTGCTGTTGTCTTTATCAGCTGTTGTCATTCCCTCATCTGTTACAAATGCCTAAATAAATTAAGTGGAGAAAAACCTTGAATGTCAAAAATACTGACTAGAATTCAGTGTGGTTGGGAACAGTTGCAATACCCATGGCTTGAACAGGGAACAAGCAATTGTTCAAGACAGCAGCAAAAGCCTGAACACAGAATGGTCTTTCTGAAGCTGAAAGGTAATTATTGACATCGGGGCTTGTGAAAGTATTGGAACTTTATTGTTAACAGAAGATCTTGCGTCTGTGTGCTGAATGTACATTTCTGTTCCTCTAAACCTTGTACGAGGCTTCAAGGAGACCCTAGGTATTTGCTGGCTCTGATCATTTTTATTTTTAGATATGACAAATAAAGAGCAGCTAAAGAAATTCTCGTTCAGCTGGCCAAAATAATGTAGTGGAGGGGGGCAATGTTAACTATCTCTGCAACTCCCAGATTTTCCTTATCAGCTTGAATGATGAATCAACTTACTGTTTTGAATACTTCCATGAAAATCCTGCATCTAATAGTGTTTGAAGCTGTGAGCAATCTGTCTATAATCTCTAATATAAAATTGTGTCTTTTTGTGTGTTTGTGTGATATTTACACTAGTCCTTAGAGTAAAGAGATAATGTCATGCAGTCATGTTTTGGGTGTGTATGTCAGTCCTTTTCCTTGCTGTGAACTCTTCAGTTCATTAGCTGATTTCATCAAGCTTTAAAAGAGAAGTGGAAGACTCCAACATACAAAGTTTCTCCAAAAAGTTTGTGAGAAGTATAGTGAAAGCATATGGTTCCCCATTTATTTGGCCTCCACTATGTCACATTTTCTCATTCTGAGATGAGGGACAGAATTTGTCACAAGATCATTGCAATGCTATTGTGGACTGGGCTGTGGAAAGGTGACTCCTGACCAGTTAGTTGAGAAACTAACACATGTCCTGGCCAGTCAAACTATGTTCATGTAGCTCTGGCCACTACAATGATCTTGATGTCACTTGGCCAAACAGCAAGCTAGGCAAAGTAGTTGAAAGATATGGGTAGGAGAAGAGAGGATAGAAAAGGCATTAGAATATTGAAGTAAAGGACTAAGAAGTCCTGCAGTGAAAAGAGATGAGGGAGCTGATGTTATCTTGGTGGGGCTGTAGGTGACATGAGGATGAGTTCATTGTTGTGATTTGTTTGAAGATTCAATCAACCATGAAGCATAAATTCATTGGAAATCAGAATTAATTAGTGGTGAAGCTTGTAGAGATGCTTGCTGATAGTGTGTTGTATTCCTTTGCTTAGTTCTTTCTGCCACATTGGGAAAACGTTCTTTTCAGATATAGTTATATGGAAGGTCATCTTTTTGACCCAAAAATGTTTACGTAATGGTTTTAAGTGATGGATTGCTTTATATCTTAACTTAATGACAGTGGCACTTGAAAAATGCGGTGATGATGTATGGATGAGAAAAACAAGGCTTAGATCCTGGTCTCATGCCAGGATCATGTTAGTCAGGCTCTAGTGTATTCTGTTTTGTTGTACTCAAGTATGTGCATAGGACCCATCAACACTGCACTCAGAGCACCTGACTTCCACAGTCATATTAAACAATTCATTGGCCTAATTCTGATCTAATAGTAACATAAATCAGCAGTGATTTGATTTTAATTGACAGAGATGGAGCAATATATTTAATGTGGTGATGCCAGAATCAGGTTCCTAAGATCTGATCAGACTTCAGAGGTGCTAGCTGTAAAACAAAGCAAAGAGACATTTTTTTTTTTTTTTTTTTTTTTTTTGACTTACAGTTTTTACAGCTGGCTCCATGGCTCCAAAGAGTTGGAGGCTTGTGGGAAGCTCTGTAGACTGCTGGTCTCTATTTTATCCCCAGGCCAGGAGCAATGCTGGAATGTGAGCTTCTCTAGAGCTCTGTAAATGATCTCCCCTTGGTCCCAGAGGATCATCCTCTCACAGGGTAAGAGGCAGCTTGAATATAGTCTACTTTTTGGAGCTGGCTTTAATGTTTAGGATCAGTGGGCATCGTGTTGAAAGAGTGTGTTTGTGCACTGTTTTTTTTTACCCTATACTTAACATCTTCTGAAACACAAATCTGGTATGGAAATACAGTCTGGCAGTACCTCAGCCATCCTAGCAGTCCCCTTCAGGCTTTAAATCTGGTGTCTCTGTTCAAGTCAGTGAAGTGGAGAAGTTGCAAAATTGCACTTCTCTGAGCTTTTTTTATTTGTGATGGGAGCTTTGTTTTGCCACTCATCTCCATTTATGTTTCTATTTACTTATACCCAATGGTTTTTATTTTCAATCAATTAGATTATTCTTGTGGCTGTTGTCTTAATCACAACAATTTTCACCTTTTAGGAAGGATGTCATTGGCTGGAAACATCTGTCATCTACAAAGAAATACCCATGGCTCACACCTTTTACTGTATTTAACAAAGTCTGTACATCAGATATGTCAGAAAATTCCTCTGCCTCTGGATGAACAGTGTCAGCATTTGACTTAGCAGAAAGCCCTACATTGCTGTGCAGAGGTCCTTTGTGCTGCCACCCTGTTATACTGGTGGTCTGATGTACATGGCTTTAGTGGAGGATTCTCAATGACATTTCACCTGACCATGGATCCAAGAGTCTCCTTAAGACTTCAACAGAGATCGTTCTCAATGGGAGGTTACAAAGTCCTTATATAACAACAAGTTATTTATTTTTGCTTAGAGAAAGTTATCTATCCTGTTTGAAAAAATGTCTTATGATAACCTGACGATTCAACAGTTTTAAGGCAATTTTGAGGGGAATGAAGGGAAAAAAAAAGGCAAGAAACTATCTAAAAGGAAAGACAACCAGGTGAGGGAGAAAACACTAAAATTAACTGCAGGGTGTCATGATATGCTTTCTAGATAGGCACATTTGCCATTAAGATGAGGTTGCCAGCAAAAGTAAGTACCATATTTTCTTCCTGAAAGACCAATTTATCTTCTGGCAGTAAATAGGTAACACTCACTTTCTCATGTGATGTAGTAGTGCCTGGCAGCCTTTAGAAAGGTTTGCTTTGTATTGCTGCTTGCCTGACTGCTGCTCTCCTGCCCTGATGAAGGCAATGTTTGTGTCATGGTTGGATTTGTAAACAAAATGTTCTAATGACTTACCATGAGAGTTTGATTAAAGCCCTTGAACAGACCAAGAATTGCATGCATGGAATTAGTTATTCTTTGATATCAAAGACCCTTTGGCTTGGTCTTTATTTTTATTTTTTGTCAGAAGGGAGAAAACTGTGTAGATAAATGACTTTGGTCTCTGTCTGCCTCAAACAGCACGTGGGATGTGAGAACTACTCAGAGGATTTTGTACTGAATATTTTTTTGATTTTATTTTATTCTTTTTTTCCCATGACAAGTTAATGTAAAAACACTACAAAACAGTGTATGCAGCATTTGGGCTGATACAGAGCCAGGTGGGGAGCTTGTCCAAAGACCTAAGTGTTTGCAGCCATCCCAAAAAGCACATCTGTAGGTCACTAAAATGCATCCTGTCTTGCCATATAGCTGTTGGATACTGATCTGTACTGAGAATTTGCACGTGTGAGTAGTGATGACAGTGCTAGCACTAGGCACCTTATAAGTATGCAGCACTGCCTAAAATGTGTGTTCATCACAGCTCCCTATGGTGTGCCACGTGCCACAGATCTCGCACACTGAGTTTCCATTAACTCAAGAAGTAATAAGCATATGGGTATTTGGGACTGGAAGAAGCGAGCTCTGCCCCAGAGTATTGCCATGAACTTCTGGCAGGCAAAAATGGGCATGGCCTGGCCAGTTTGATATAGTGAGTATTACCAACAGGATTAGAGGAACTAGCAGAGGAGTTTAATATTTTTTTTTTAACCAATTTATTACAATTCCTTGGATAAAACCCATTTGGACTCATGTTTTTCAGAATCGTGTTTTCAAGTATGGTTTATAGCCTGTGAGCTATATCAAAGCAGCTGTAATTAAAACATGCATAGATATAGCCTACACTATTTTTAAGAATAGTGGAGGTAAGTTGTACCTTTTTGTATATGTGGGTTATAAGTAGTTGTTTGGTTTCAGGTATGTGACTGAGAACACAATATCTTTTTTATTTCTTTAAAGACATTAGAAAAATTGGATTGTAATTTATTTCATCCTTGTGCTATGCTCATCTCTGTAGTACTTGAGTGTCATGTGATATTACTATCAAAGTAATCTCTTGCATGTTTGCCCTTTCAGTTTCTAAAGGGGAGAGACAAGCACAGAGAAAAAGTTTTAAGTTTCAGCTCTATGAAACGTGTGTTTTTACAGGCGCACGTGCACACACCTAATGTGATATATTTATATCTAAGTTACTTAATGATCACACATGTCACTGGAAGTAGATATGTGTGGTTCAGCTCAATCAATTGATACTCTGAAAATTTGTTTCAGGTTCTCTTATACTTCAAACTCAGTCATTTTACATGGGACTGTGGCCAAGAGGTCTCATTGCTACATGATGTACTATGAAATCAACACACAGTACAGACTAAACTAAAACTGGTGTTAGATAAACAGACCCAAGCATCGAGTAAGTCTGGATGACCTGAATGGATGTGTCATATATTGCTATGAGTTATTGATGACCTTTCATAATTCACAAGTGGCTCAGGTTCCCTCCACCACTTCTGAGCTATGAGATCATTAATAATGTGTGCAAATAAATAACACATCTTGAGTCAGTTCATTGTATTTCCTAGTGCTCTTTCTTTCCCTCCATGTATGGTATGTATGCATATAATATTTATTTCAGAAACAGGAAAATTCCCACCAGCAGCTGTTGGGAAGAAAGTTATATCTCATATTTATATCATTGGAGAGCTATATTTCATAGCTGTGAGGTTATAGTCATAAAATATAGCCTTTTAATGTGTTAAGAAAAACTTCTGCAGTTATTTAAACCAATAAGACTATTGTATTCAAATGAACTATACTTTACAATACATTCTCGTCCACTGGGTCAAATTCTACCCTGGCTTGCATGCTGAAGTCATTGAAAATTACAACAGGCATCATCAGTCAGTACAAAACGGACTCTGCAAACGCTCTGGGTATGGTGGAATCACACGAGGGATGAATTGGTCCAGCACTTAAGGTCTTTTGACCCTAAATGTGCTGTAGCTTCGGTTATTCTTTGCCAAATCTTCTGTCTTTTAACTTGGAGTAATGTGACTCTCTCAGCCAAAAGCTAAAATGATCTCAAGTCCACTGAAGTTAAATCTTTCTATTGAATTCAGTAGGCTTTGGATCAACTCCTAAGAGCAGCTGCCATCTTGAAAAAATCTATGTGAAAATTGTCCTTGATTTCACTATTGATGATCTTTGCCCCGAAGTTACTTCATTCCCATATTTTTCCAATACTGTCTTTATGCTGTTTTTCATTCCTCGTTGTTCATGAAGCTTTCAAGGTCTGTTCTCATCAGTGGGTTTCTTACTGTGCTAATAAGAAAAATATTGCAGTTTGTAATCTCTTCTTTCATCTTTTTGTTTATTATCTTTTGAGAATGTATGCAGCTCCATGGGTCAGTAATGCCAGTGAAAGAAGTTTTGTTGTATCACTCAAACTTCTTGCTTTTGGCTGCACAGCCTTTTCTGTTGTTCCTGATGGGTTCCTCCTGAAAAATGCTGTAGTAATTGAAGAAATAATACACATTCATGGGGGAGGTAAGGTGATGGCTATAATGTTCATGTCACTGCATATATGACAGTGCCCTGATATTTCTTCAATTGATTATTTAAGGCTATTTCAGCACCTGGGCAGTAATCCAGTGTGCCGGTAGCCAAGTATAGCAGTGTTCTGTTAAGCACAGTATCAAACTGGTACCAGGTTAGGAACTGTCTATATTAACCTGATGTCTGTAACCCCCCAAAATAGCTTTTCGAACAGCAGAACCCTTAAATACTAATATAAGCAGATTAATTTTATTTAGATTTTTTTTAATATTAATTGTGCTATGATTGTGAAATTGCTTAAACAAAATCTACCTGTGTGGTGAGAAACACATACTGAACTGTTTTCTCATTCTGTCACCTTTAGCTTTGCTATATGGTCCTTTGTTTTTCAGTGAAAAACACTCTCCTAGGAGATGCTCAGTTGAGGGAGTTAAATGTTTCCATTCTGACCTAGAACAATTTTCATGAGTGTAAGCATCCAGGAAAAGGAAGCCCAGGAGTAAAAAGTTACAACTGACTTCAATATGGCCCACTCATATATCATAAGCAGCAGTGATTTGCTGCAAACTTTAAAGAGATTACCTTAATGTACCTGAAGATATCACAGAATCACACAGAATTTCTAGGTTGGAAGAGACCTCAAGATCATTGAGTCCAACCTCTGACCTAACACTAACAGTCCCCACTAAACCATATCCCTAAGCTCTACATCTAAGTGAAAACTCATGGAGGAAGATTTTGGCTATTAGAGAGAAGCAGCTGAATTTAAGACATCATGAAAGGCCAGGGTGAGGGTCATGTCTATTGAAAGAAGCAGTTGCTAGTATTCACAGAAACTGTCTGAGATTATGGTCTGAGCTATTTGAGATTGTATCACTGTATTCACTAAAGATCTACTTTCCACATCTCCCAAAGTGATCAGGAAACCTGATATTTCCCAAACTGCTACTGAAGTCACTGCTGCCATTGAATCACACTAGCTACGTTCTTCAAATTGAAGTGCCCTTCAATTTAAATATGATTTTGGGGGACTGCCCAAAACATGAGTCATTTCTTCACAGACAGTCTTTCAAAAATTTTTGTCTCTCTGTTAGCAGATACCCGTCTTTCTGCTAAATAAGCCAAGGATTCTGTTAGCTGTACTAGTTGTGTGGAGTAAATCACCCTTTGGCCTCTGAATGCAGTAACCTTTCCACTCTAGCCATGAAGTAATTGATGGAGTAGTACAGGAAAGGTTGCATTCTTGCTGTCTGGCAAAATAATAAATAAAAATGTATCATTTCTTAATGGACTTGAGAGAGGTGAGTAACTTAAATCTGGTAAACATATGAGAGCAGCAACTACCTTTTTTTTTTTTTTTCCTCAGACAGTAGAGGAAAATTTTGCTTTAAAACTTCATCTCAGTGTCCTCTTACATGAAACGAAAAATCTCTTCTAATCCACCCAAGAAAAAAAGTAACATTTATGTGTATATATTTGTTGTTCAGACTAACCAGTTACAATACTACCCACTCATGGTCCTGGTCCATCTTCCATGGATGGAGGTCAATGAGGAATATTTCTGTCAACTTCAATGGAGTTGGTTGTGTTGCTCAGTGCTAATTTGAGAATAATGGGAAAGACAGCAACTAAAACCTATTCTGATTCATCAGAACAAGAAGAAGATTTACTCATTGTAGGAATGTATAGATAACTTCTCTAAATTTTGATTAATTTAGAAATATAGAACTTGCCTCCTTAATGTGGACAGAAAAAAATCCTACTGATATTAGCAGACACAGGACTGAGGCTTTAAAACGAGTGGGGAGAAATGGATGGAGAAATTGGCTGACAAGAATCTCATGAAGGCAACTCTAGTACCTGCTGGGGACAAACTAGCTGGAAAGTAGCTTTGCAGAAAAGGATGTGAAGGTTCCAGTGGATAAGAAATTCACTCTGAGCCAACAATGTGCTCTTGTGGCAAAGAAGACTAATAGTACCCTGGTCTGCACTGAGGAATATTGCCAGAAGGTCAAAAAATGTGATCCTTCACCTCTACTCAGCACTGGTGAGGCTTCACCTGGAGTGCTGGGTCCGGTTCTGGGCTCCCCAGTACAGGAGAGACATGGACATGCTGGACAGAGCCCAACAAAGGGCCATGAAGAAGATGAAGGGACTGGAACACTGTTTGTGTGAGGAGAGGCTGAGAGAGCTAGAACTGCTCAGCCTAGAAAAGAGGAGGCTCCAGTGAGTTCCCATCAATGCCTACAAATACCTGAAGGGAGGGTGCAAAGGTGATGGAGCCAGGCTCTTCTCAGTGGTGTCCAGTGCCAGGCCAGGGGCGAATGGGCACAAACTAGAACACAGGAGTTTCCATTTGAACATCACAAAGCACTTCTGTGCTGTGTGGGTGATGGAACACTGGCACAGATTGTGTCAGTGAGAGGTTGTGGAACCTTCTCCTTGGAAATCTTCAAAAGACACTTTGCATGGGCACCCA